TCTTTATTTCCCTTAGCAGAGCCTTCATTTCTTCCCTTATGCCATTTCCATATTCAGTGAGATCTTTGAGCATTGTGACCACCAGTATTTTGAACTCTGCATCTAATAGGTTGGCTGTCTTCACATTGCTTAGTTCCTTTTCTGAGGTTATTTTCTGTTCCTTCATTTGGGCCATATTTCTTTGTCTCCTGATTTTGGCAGCCTCCCTGTGTCTGTGTACTAGGTAGAGCCTCTTTGACTCCATTTTAGTACACCTGTTAAGTTGTATGGTGCAGAGCCTTGGCTATTTGTCAGGGCAGGGCAACTGTGACTCCGTCGGGGGGGCGGGCAGTCTAAGAGGGGACAGTGCCGCTGCTGACTGACTTCTGGGGGCTTACCTGGCCCTCACCCCGTTTCCAGCCACTTCACCCACTCCCCCTATGTGAGTGCTGCCCCTCCAGCTGCTGTCCTCGTGGTTCTGAAGGTGGGTGAGTTTGCTTATGGACAAACAGTTTCTTCCACTACCTCAACTCCCACTGGGTTTACAGCCAGAAGTTACAAGGCTTTCTTTTCCCTGGCACGTGGAGCCCTGGGCTGCACGGTCTGGCCTGGCGCTGGGCTCGCTCACTGGCAAGGTGTTTCTCCCTGATTTTTATCCACCACACATGAATGTGGGGCTGCCCTTTCCGCTGCAGCCTCACAGCCTTTCCCCTTCTCCATCCTCAGCTACTTGCAGCTGCTACTCCTAGTCCTCTCCGACCAGACTTCCCTCTCGGCCCCTCCTACCCCTCTGGATGAATATAGCTTCTTTAAATCCTTGGTTGTGGGACTTCTGTACAGTGCTGGTGATTTTCATGGTGATTTTCTGGCAGTCCTGGGTGTTCTTCATTTTTAAATTAGTTGTGTTCCGTCTTATGGTTGTGCAGTGAGACAAGGCATGTCTACATACACCTCCATCTTAACCAGAAGACTGGTTTGGTTTTTAATAACACCTGATGTTATGAAGATAGCAGAAATGTAATACTGGAGTACACTTTGTGCCTTTTATTCAGTTGTCCCACTTCTTATAATACATCATAAGGAATAAATTCAAAATTCAGACTTCTTTCATTCTTCGCTGTTCTAAGAAGTGAAAGTAACATTGTTTTTGTTTGCTTGTCTTTCTTTAGAGTAACTTTATGGGATTTTTTGTTTGTTTGTGTAGTCAAATCTTCAACCTTTTCTTTTTGGTTTCTGGCTTTAGTTTCATATTTTCCAATATTGTATTACAATATATACACAGTTTTATTGAATTCTTTTTTCAGTAATTTAAAATGCATCACTTACTACCTACTGAATCTCCATAATGGGTTTGTTTTTTTTTGGTTTCTCTACTACATTATACTTATCTGTCTTTAGTTAGTTCTCAGACATCACATTTTTAAAAACAATTCTATAATTTACATGCAGTAAAAATTCATATTTCAATTGTATAGTTCAATGAGTTTTGCCAAATGTAAACACTACTCTTATCAAGATAAAAAATATTTCCATCGCTCCAAAAAATTTTCTCCTTGATCCCTTGTGTGGACATCCCCAACTCCAGTACCCAGAGGAAGACAACCACTGATCTGCTTTCTATTACTGTACAGTAATATTACTAATTAGTATTACTAATATTAAAGTATTATTTTTTTTTAGAATTCTGTATCAGTGAAATTACTCAGAATGTACTCCAGCTTCTGTTGCTGAGCATATTTTCATCTGTGTATCAGTAGTTGGTTCTTTTTTATTGCCAGGTAGTATTCCTTTTTTTCTTTTTTTAATGGGCATACTTTAGTTGATTTATGCACTAGACTTTTGGATTATTTTCAATTAGGGATCATTATGAATAAAGTTGCTATGAATATTCATGTAAAAGTCCTTGTGCAGACATTCCTCCTCTCCCTAGCTCACTGAAAGTTGTTATAAATTAATTTTTTCAGATGCATTTTATACATTTTTATGAGACAGTAATGAATATAGAGTTCAAAGAGTATTTGACTCTATATTCCTGAGGGATAGTCACCTATAGTTTTCTTCTAATGAATTTAGCTTGTTTTGATATCAGGTTATTGCTCCCTTCAAAAGATGAACTGCAGAATATTCATTCTTCTGTTTTTTTGTAAGAGCTCATGTAGATTTGGTGTTATTTTTCCATAAGCATTTGATAGAATTCACCATTAAAAATCTCTGACCTGTTTTCTTTGTTTTCTAATGTAAGCATTTAAACTTACAAGTTCTCTGAGTGCTGTTTTAGCTAGAAGCCACATCCTTTTATACGTTGTGCTTCATTATCAGTCAGAACAAAATACCGTCTAGTTTTCCTTATTACTTTTATTTTCATTTATGGAATATTTAGAAGTATGTTGTTTAATTTCTAAAATGAAGTGGTCATTCATGCATGTTCTTTGACTAATCCCTTTTTCCACCATCTCCCCAGCCTCCGTTCCTCTGGCAGCTGTCAGTCTGTTCCCTGTCACTGTGTCTCCAGTTCGGTTTTGCTCAGTAGTTTATTTTAGTTAGTTTCCTGGCCACAGCAATCAGGCAAGAAGAAGAAATAAAAGGCATCCAGATTGGAAAGGAGTAAAACTGTCATTATTTGCAGATGATATGGTAGTATACATAGAAAACTGTATAGTCTCCATCAAAAAGCTACTCACCCTAATAAGTGAATTAGATTCCTCTTACAAGTGAGATCATATAGTCTTTGGCTCTCGTCAGCTGGCTTATTTCACTTAGCAAAATAGTCTCTAGTTCATCCATGGTGTTGCAAAGGGTAGGAGTTCCTTCTTCTTTCTTACTGCTGGGTAGTATTCCATTGTGTAAATGTACCAGTTTTTTAATCCATTCATCTGCTGTTGGGCACTTAGGCTGTTTCCAACACTTGGATATTGTATATAGTGCTGCTGTGAACAGAGGGGTGCTATAAGTTCTTTTGAATTGGTGTTTTGGAGTTCTTAAGGTATATTCCCAGGAGTAGAATCACTGAGTCAAAAGGCAGTTCCATTTTTAATTTTTTGAGGAAATTCCATACAGTTTTGCACAGTGGCTGCACCAGTCTGCATTCCCACCACCAGTGCACTAGGGTTCCCTTTTCTCCACATCCTCGCCAGCACTTGTTGCTTGTTGATTTGTTTATGATGGCCATTCTGACAGGTGTGAGGTAATATCTCATTGTGGTTTTAATTTGCATCTCCCTGATGGCTAGTGATGTTGAACATTTTTTCATCTGTCTCTGGGCCATCTGTGTGTCTTCCTTAGAGAAGTGTCTATTCAGGTCCTTTGCCCATTTTTTAATTGTATTGTTTGTCTTCCTGGTGTTAAGTCATATGAGTTCTTTATATGTTTTGGAGATTAAAACCTTGTCTGATGTATCACTGGCAGATATGTTCTCCCATACAGTCTGTTCCCTTTTCACTTTGATAATGGTTTCTTTAGCTGTGCATAAGCTTTTTAATTTGATGTAGAGTTTCCCTTAGATAATGGTTTCTTTAGCTGTACATAAGCTTTTTAATTTGATATAGTGTTTCCCTTAAGATCAGGAACAAGATAAGGGTGTCCACTTTCACCACTGTTATTCAGCATAGTACTAGAGGTCCTGGCCATAGCGATCAGACAAGAAGAAGAAATAAAAGGCATCCAAATTGGAAAGGGGGAAGTAAAACTGTCATTATTTGCAGATGATATGGTAGTTTATATAGAAAACCTTAGAGTCTCCATCAAAAAATTACTCGCCCTAATAAGTGAATTTGGAAAAGCAGTGGATACAAAGTCAGTATTTGGAAATTGATTGCATTTTTATACACCAACAATGAAGTATCAGAAAGAGAAACTAAGGAAAAAATCCTATTTACTATAGCAGCAAAAAAAATAAAAATAAAGTACCTAGGAGTAAATGTAACCAAGGAGATAAAAGGCCCATACTTGGAAAACTATAGAACACTGAAGAAAGAAATTGAAGAAGATACAAATAAATGGACCCAGCATATATCCCATTTGTAGATTGGAAGGATCATTTTATAGAGAAATCTCAGTCATTTTATATGGAATCTTATGTGTTCCTCCAGATAGTGAAGCTATACCTGATGGTACTTGGTGTGATCTTACTCTTACTAAAGCAAGTAATGGTTATCAATTATAATTTAGCAATCTCTTTTGTTATTTTTAAATGGATCTTGGTAAATAAATGGAAAACTGTCTTAAATGAGAAGCATTTGTATTCAAAAAAGCATATGTATATCATATGTGCTATATATTATATCATATGTATGATGTAATTCCATTTTGGAGTAAAATAAAATTTGGAGCATACAGTATAAGTTTTTAGGGAGTCCTTTTTTTACCTTTAAACAAATATACAATATTTTTTTGTGTTTACTGTCTGCCCTGTGTAAGTTCTGTTTTCCAATTTACAATGTTGGTAGCTTCAAGGCTAACAGCCTTGTCATATGGCTCTGTAAAATTCAAATTGAAGTTTTCTCAACTATAATTTTCAGTTCCTGAGAATGTCATTCCTTGAGAGCTCTTTATATCATGTTTTTTCTCCCTTAAATGCTATTCCATATGCATGCCTTAACAATGACTTTAGTCCTCAGATAATTCTTTCATTAATTCTTGTGAAACATTGCCTTTTACTGCCTTTTATCCATCCCCAGTTTTGACTTCCAGCACACTTAGACATAACTTGCTGTGTAATTGTTGACATAGCTATTCCTTCTTACCCTTGACCTCATGTGAACTCTTGGAGGGCAGGAACTGTATCTTGTATTTTTCTGTGTGTTCAGAACTCACCATGGGACCTTATATTCAGGAATCCAGTAAAACTACTCCCCAACCCTGCATGACCACTGTAATGTTCTTCCTCAAGGATTTGACAATTAAAAGGTTTTTAAAAATTAGTGAAACATCTCATAACAAAAAAAGAGAAGTATTGGTACATTTTACTTTTCTTTTAGACTGCTTTCCTTGAATTAAATACATTTTTTGCCTTTCTTCTCTAGGTGAATCCTTGAAAGGAAAGATCACAGTCCACAAGAATAAGAAAGATCCACGTTCTCTGATTGTGGCCCTCACATTGAATAATTCGACTCAAACTTACGGTCTCCAGTGACAAAGCCCCTTGCAGTTTTTATTGTGGGGGTGAACTGGGTAGTGGGTAGAGGCGGAGGGGTTTTATGTGAGCACATGGATGATGCATCCTTTCCTCATGAGTCTCCTCAGTATAATTGTGGTAGGAATCCAGTGTAATTCAGCTGCAGAAGGGAATTCACTGATCCTGGCGGTCCACCTACATAATTGCATTATTGGGAGTCTGGTCCGTGCGATTTAACCAAATGTAACCCCTGCATTAAGTTTAGCTATATTGAAACTCATTTCAATTGTCCTAAATTTGGAGCAAAGATAGTCTTTTCTTGTTTTTAAAGTTTCCTGCTGTAAATTTTAAACACTAGTTATTTCTTAGTTATTTGGATAATGTTTTATTAAACTAGTAATTATACACAAGTTGTTACATATTTTACTGCAGATTTCCTCTCTAAGGAGTAGTTTTTAATTGTATTATTTGTTAGATTATCAGGATATAATAGATTAAATACCAAGTGTAAGGGACTAAAATATGGAAAAGCACATCACACAAATCATATTTGAAGACAATTTAGTTGATTGTAATTCTGTAGTTCTCATTTTGTAGCTTCTTCCCTCTTTGCAAATATTCTTTAGCCATTTATTTGTCTAGTATTGAGAAGGAAATCTAATTTCAATATGTTTTTTCTGGGTTTCATAAAAGTTTTTAAAGATTGAGGTAAATATGTGCTTCTTTACTAATATAATACCTTCTTCAAACTAGATTTATGTGCAGTTAAATGTGTAACTGTTAATATATTACTCTTTACAATTGCGTCATTTACAGTGGACTCAGTTCGAAATGCAGAATAGAAAACATTTAATAAAATGTATACAGTAACCATTAGCATTATAAAATGACAATTCAAAATATTAAGGCCTTTTATAAAATCAGAAATATTTAAAACAAGTCTTTTTAAAAATGTTTTATTAAAGTGTAGTCGATATACAATATTATACTAGTTTCAGGTGTACAATATAGTGATATAACATTTATTATATACCTTACAATATGATCCCCACAGTAAGTCTGGTAGACATCTGTCACCATAAAATGTTATATAATTGACTCTATTCCCTGTGCTGTCTGGTACACTTCTGTGGCGTATCTATTTTATAACTGGGAGTTTGTGCCTCTTATTCTCCTTCACCATTTTCACTCATTCTTTCCACCCCCCTCCCTGTCTGTCCTCTGTATCTATGAGTCCATTTCCGTTTTGCCTTTTTAACTCTATATATAGGAGAAATCATAGGGTGTTTGTCTTTCTCCGCTTGACTTAAATGTTTCATTTACCATAGTACCTTCTGGGTCCATCCATGTTGTCACAAATGGTCAGAATTCATGTTTTTGTTTTTTTATTTCTGAGTAATATTCCATTGCGTATATATACCACATGTTCTTTGTCCATTCATTTATTTATGGCCACCTAAGTTGCTTCCATATCTTGGCTATTGTAAATAATACTGTGGTGAACATAGTGCTGCATATATCTTTTCAAATTAGTGTTTTTCTTTTCTTTGGATAGATACCCCGAAGTGGAATTTCTGGGTCATATGGTAGTTCTGTTTTTAAGGAATCTCCATAGTGTTTTCTGTACTGGCTTCAGCAATTTGTAATTCCAGCAATAGGGCAAGAGGGTTCCCTTTTCTCTATATCGTCACTAACGCTTGTTATTTGTTGATTTTTTTATAATAGCCATTCTTGCAGGTGTGAGTTTTATTACACTAATGATACGAATCTCATTGTGGTTTTGATTTGCATTCCCTGATGATTAGTGATGTTGGGCATCTGTTCATACGTCTGTTGGCCATTTGTCTGTCTTCTTTGGAGAAATGTTTGTTCAGGTCCTCTGCCTATTTTTAAATTGGATTGTTTGGGTCTTTTTGATGTTAATAAACGAGTCTTAGCAAAATAATTGTTTTTAGGAAAGCAGGGATGTTTAAAGATAGGTGGGTCACATGCTTCTTTTTCAAAGCAGACCGTACACAAGACAACATAGCATAGTGATGAGAAGCATGGGCTCTGGAGTCGGTGACTAGGTTCAAGCCTTGACTCGGCTCTTACTTGCTGTGTGATCTTAGTCATATTCCATAGCCTCTCTCTTCCTCCATGAATGTGCCAATGCATGAGTTAATACATTTCAGCTACTTACTTAGATCAGTAGTGGACACACAGAAAAGAGTCAGTGCCAGGTATAAGGTCATCATCATACAGTTAAGGTCCCCTTCCAAAGAATACATGACATTTACCTTCGATCAGTTTGAGAATCATCAACCTCATGAAATAATACCCTAACATATGGGTGGGTGGGAAAATTGCAACGGAAATTAATATTTAAGGTAGCAGAATTGTATCATAAAGAAATCGTCTTTTGGTATTTATTAGAGAACTACACTTCAAACAATGAGAAAATTAACCCCTTCAAATGATGGTGTTTCAGACCATAGTCTCTAAGATATTCTTTGTGAGCATGACTTCTCTTTTCACTGAGTTAAACCAACCGGCTTGTTTTCACTGTGGATTTGAATTCAGACCATTACTGGAAATGTGTGGTGCAGACAGCACAGCTCTAAGTACTTGAAATTTTGTCCGGAATGGCTTCATGTACAAATTTGAGTAGAGTGGGTTGATAAAAGTAAGGAAGTCTGTAAGAAGATAAAATGGACTTTTAATATAACCAAAAACCATCTAATTTTTTGGTATTTTTTCTTTTAAGTGCATAACACATTTTCTACTACTTAAAGTATTTATCAAAAATGATTACTTTTCAAAACTTTTGTTTGATTTTCATGGGATTTTTACCCAGTGGCTCTGGTGTTTTTGTTTGTTTTTTCCCTCCTAGTTATAACTAGCCCAACCATATTCTGTTCTTTTCAGTTAGCCATCCCAGGCTAAAACATTCTAATTCGTATGCCTAAACATTTTATAAGAATATGAGAGTCCAAATGTTAGTGCTTCATTTGGAATCTCTGCCGTTGGTTAATGGCTGTGAAAAATAAGTACTTCATTACCCTTGGTGATGATAAATATAATGTCCTTTCATACAGTGGCAGATGGGTATTTATAGATAGCAAGTTATTCTGTCCAAGAACTTTATTTCCATTAAGACAATATATTTTTCTTCTATTATCTTTCGTGAAAACTATTATTATTATGTTGTAATGTGTGGAGTTCATCCAAGTATAACAGTCCTCTCTATTGAGTAGAGAAGTATTTCATGAACAGAGCATTTTGGGAGGAATGGATCCAAGAAAACAGAACTCTTGAAGGTGTATAGCATTGCACACAGTGGCCCATTAAACAGCCCCAACTGCAAGGAACACAAATGGAGCTGTCAATTTAACTTTTAAGGAATCTCTCTATTTGAGGAGTAGGGCAAATAATGCTGGTCCTAGTTATTTGCTTTTTTATCACAATCTAGATTAACCAGTGTGGTCCACTTGCGTCTTTCTGCATTCTACCTCTCTCACTTCTTAAAATGGAATATCTAAAATGTGTCGTGTGGCCCTGGCTGGTGTGGTTTAGTTGGTTGGAGTGTTATCCCATACACCAAAGGTTGGGGTTCGATTCCTGGTCAGGGCACAGAGCTAGGTTGTAGGTTCAATCCCCAGTCCACACATGTATGGGAGGTAACTAACTGAGGCTTCTCTCTCACACTGATGTTTCTCTCTCTCTGAAATCAATAAACATTTTTTTAAAAAACCTTTTAATGCAATGTGTGAAGTTACCAATTTGAGATCAGTTCATGCTCATCTCACCAGTTATGCTCTCAAGTGGAGGAGATACAGTAGTGACACTGCTAAGAGCATTCCGCAGGCAAAATCTAAAAGAACGATCTACCAGTTAGCACCTGCTGGCCATGCCAAAAATGATCATTCACATGGATCAATGGATGGTAGCATATACCCAAAACATCCAAGTATTCAGACTTTTCTCTGTAGCAGAATATCTCCAGAATACGGAGTTTCATCGTGAGATGAAAAGCAAGGTCAAGCATTATCTACTCCAGGGCTGGCCAACTACAGCCTGGGGCCATATTCAACTTACTGCTCATTTTGGTAAATAAAATTTTATTGGAGCAGAGATAGCTAATGCTACAGGTAGAACATTTCCTCTTGTGACTCATTAATGGCCATGGCAGAGAAAATACACACAATAGAACACAGATTACAAGAACTATGTTTGAAAAAAACGAACAGGAAACTGAGCAACTGGAAGTACTCTGTGAAGATGTAGAGGATTGGCCAAGACTCATCCTAATTTTTTTTTCTAAATACAGTATTTACATACTTGAGAAAAACTAGAGAAATGTGCAAACAGAGCTTTTCAAAGGTAGAAATGGCTGAACCCCACCACAAGAAACAAACTAACTTGTCTACTGGACTTCTGAGCCTTAAAAATAGGATGTGTGTGAACCTCATTAAGCTCTGAGATTTTAAGAGGGAGGGCTCTGGATCCAAAACTGCCAACATTAGGAGACAGTTGGGGAAATGGCTATATATCAGCTCTTTTCAACATGCCTTCAGGCTCTGTTATTATACATGTTTTTTAATCATCTGTTTTCATTAATATTACACTAATAAGTACTTTTGCTGCATGCTGAAACACAGAATTTATCTCCAAGAACAGCACTTGTGTGAATTGATTTGTGGGCTGAAATAGCCACTTTTCTCACAGAACAGCATTTTCACTGAAAGAATGACTATGGTAAACTCTGACAGACGTTGTCCTACAAAAGGAGAGTGATCTTAGTCAAACAAAACAACTGATGGAATTTTTTGCTAGTGATGAAATTCAAGTTTTCAAATTAAAATTTTGGAAAACATATATCCATCGCTGTGAGCTTGCCAGTTCTTAAAAAGACTAGGATTAATGATGGAAGGTAGGGAAAAAATTTTTCCTACACCCTTTTAAGTTCTCAGTGGGAACCTCCGTTACAAAAGACAGATCAACAAGAGAAAAGCATACAAATGTGTTTAACGTAAAATTTTACATGACACAGGAGCCTTCGTAAAGAAATAAATGAAGACCCAAAGAAATAGCTGGACCTGTTTTTGTGCTAGATTTGCTAAAGGGTGTCAAGTCATGGGAAGATGTAACAAGGCAAAGGTAAGTGTAGTAAACTGGGGCAAACAGCAAGGCCTGTTCCTTCAGATTCCTCTCTGCTCCTTAATTTTCGGAAGTAAACCTTCTCTCCTGGTATAGGGCGGGCACCTCTCACATAAGGGTTTTATGACCTGCTTCATGGGAAGGTCGGCAAGTCCTTCCTGGAGATGGAAGAAATCATAAAAACATCAAATATATGTTCTAATGGCAGCTGTTGAAACTGGGGGTTCACCTGTTTACTGAAAAGCAACGTGTCACAGGAAGAGCTAACAGGAAAAAAATTAATCACATTTCATTTTAAAGAACTGCATGATTCAGTGAACTAACACTTCTCTCCTCAAAAGTGCATAATACAAATATCTATTGAGAGGGCAAGATAAACTCCTGGATTTTAATGGGGGAAAAAAAGTTTATTGATAAAGTTTAAGGTTTTACATTGCAACTGACTTTTAAGAAACTACTACTTGTCAAGTTTGGGCTTAGTGTTGAAGATTATGTGAGGCCGTATTTTCTTCATATGTCTCAACCAGAACAACATAACAAACTGAATGCAGAATCAAGTTATGAGAATCCTGCTGTGTCCTTTCTGCTAAAACAGATAATAGACTTGTAAAAATACTAAGCAACACTTCTTACTAAATATTTTTGTTTTGAAAAATATTTTCATTAAAAAATTATTTATGTTAATATGTCAGTTTATTATTTAGTGAATTAGTAAATATTGTGTTTCTCAGTTTTGATTTCCAACATAGCAAATATTGATACCATATAAATTATTTAAGGTCTTTAATATTTTTTAAGAATGTAAAGGCATTCTGAAACCAAAAAATGTTGGGAGAACCCCTGGCCTAGTTTACTGTAAGACTCTTGTAACTGGTCTTTCTGCTATGACCCACTCCACACTACCTCACTGTTCTCAATATATCAGCGAAAATAATCCTCAAGATGTAAATGAATTTGTTACTCCATGGCTCACACATTCCCAGAAGCTTCTCATCTCAGAATAAAAGCTAATGTCCTTACATCTGCCTGCAGATCCCTGCACACTCTCATGCCCTATGGTTC